CCATATCTTCAATCAAACAAAACGAAATACAAATTGCTGAAAAAATCAAAGAACTCAATGCAGAATTAAAAGAATTGATGTTTGATTACAATGGGTATCTCATAGCTAAGAATGCTTTAGATCAAATCAGTGCCGTACTCAATGTTTTAACGGAAATAATAAGCAATTTAGTAAACGCGGTTACATTTGCGAAATTAGAAACAATTCATTATAGTATTCTAAGAATAGAAGATTTGGAATTTATTATACAAGTCTTATTGAAAAATTATCCATCGGGAAACTTGATGTTTGGAAATCATTTTTCAACTTTGCACAAATATTATGACATACTCAAAGTAGAATCATATTATTCAAACGATAGGATTGTTTTCATAATTCACTTCCCTATCATGCTACCGGAAACCTATTCCTATTACCACTTATACTCAGTACCCACCAAGAACAATACCATTCTCGTTCCACCTGAACCTTTCCTTGCCATGGGAAGTAAACTTTTCAAGTACGAAGACAAGAGATGCAAAAATACACACCTCACGTATTTTTGTCAAACCGATAATCAACTCCAGGCACCCGACCAGAATGATTGTGTATTTCACCTACTTCAACTGGAAGCCGATGAACTTTCGACATGTGAACCAGTCCGAATCAAGATCGATCACGAGATCATCCAGCCAATCAATAATGTCCACTACATAGCTGTGTTTCCCTACGAAACAAAGGTCAAGGTTCATTGTCAAAAAACGCACCTAGCTACTCTTAAGGGCACCTACCTTCTCGAAGTGCCAACTGGTTGCAGTTTCCAAACTACAAAACACTTCTTTGCCAACACAGAAGACATCATTCCAGGCCAGGCGCTACTACTACCGGAAGTGAAAACCCCTAGAGCAAGTCCAAGTCATCTTCAAGAACTCCACCTCCACGACATACCCTTGGATCAAATAAATAAGCTACAAAGAGAGCAGGCGGAAATTCAACAAATTACGTTGTAGAATTCACCCTGAGATTTGTCATTTCAATGGACAATACCAATTTATATCGTCTTATCCTTATTGGCAATATATTGGTTTTCAAAGATCTTCAGAGCCAGATGTCTGACCCCAAGGGAAAACCAACCCTTGGCTACATCACCAACTATTTCCATTCCACTGAAGGAAATGCCCTCAAGAATCATCGATACCGACGAAGACGAATAACCAATAGGAGATCCACCCTCCGTATGGATCTCTCTAAGGAGGGAGGAATTATATCAAGAGAAATACCATTCCAACGACCCCAGCAATTCCAAGAAGCCAAGACGCTATCGCAACTGCGTCAGCTGTTTTCATCTCCGATGCTACTGGAGCTGATAGGTAGCTTCAGCAGTCTTGATATTGCTCCAATACAATTTAGATGCAATTTATGACAATCAAATAATTTTATAATAAATAAAAATAAAGGTTTTGGTTCAAACTCATCCTGAGGAACTTAATTTGCTTAAACTACTCGTTACTAAAAGGACGTTTATAACACTCGTTACATATAATATACTATTATCGCTCACCTTACCTGAATGAAAAATGCGTTGTTGATATTACCGAAAGGCACGGCTTCCAAGGATATTGGTTTCTGTGTTCTCAGTAATATTAGAGTGATATCTCTTTGTGTTTCAAGATCAGCCATATACCATTTCGATTCTGAAATAGCTGCTCCAACAGATACAGTCTGTAATACACTTATAGTTACATATTTTACGTATGAATAACTCACATTTTGAATTCATCATGTTGAAATAAATGCAGATATAAATATAAAATGTTCGATGACCTCATATCATCATATATTTCTATACAGCTTCAAAATAAGTGTAGTCCATGATAATAACAAAGAACGTGTAAAATAATCCAGGCCCTGATAACAATTCTGTAGGGAATGTGGTGTTCCTACCCAAAATTTTCTCGCCTGGAATCGGTAAAAACTCATTTTCCTTCGGATTCTTCTTTGGTATCTGATGCATATTCTTCCTGAATGACGTCATCAGATATGGCGTGCTAATCATTGAACCTTTTTCCTTATTATGAGTGCCATCATGCGAGCAATTTCCATTTCAGTTAGGTATAGAGTGTAATATTGGATTATTCAGAATGTGTCAAGGTTCTTTATTCCGTATTAAGACCATGTCTCATGTTTTCACATGCTTAATAATGATTTCCATCAGCTGTAGAATGGGCAACACCACTATGCGGGCGCGGATCTGGGAATATTTTTCGGGGGGGGGGGGGGGTTAAATAATCTTATCACTGAATCCTGGATCATTCGTTTATTTAAAAAATAACAAAAAACTCTTGAAACATAAAAATAAGAAAAAAAAAACTCAATCACAAATAGGTTTATCTTGATTACTTAATCATAAACTCACATTTTCTTTGGTATGCGTTAGCAAATCTGTCTATAATTTCTTCGACGTCAAGATCATAGTCCCGATGAATATGCAAAAGAGCTAATCCATTCAATCTTTTTTGTCCCATTCGTGACCGCAGCCAAGTTTTTGAACGACGCAATGCCGAAAAGCTTGTTTCTGCGGTAGCAACACTTACTGGCATAGTACATAAAACTTTCAAAATCAATTCAATAGTCGGATAGATGTCATGATTGCATTTATTGAAAAGAACAATAGCTGTATCTTTATTGATTTTATTTGTGTCAAAATTGTTAAACTCTGATTGCCATAATTCAATCTAGCGTAACTATATTTCTCCTTTTCTTTGAAGTCATGTTTCTGAAAATTGTAATTGAATTAATTCCAACCAGTACTACTGAAACTAATAATTTTAATGATAAAAATTAAAATGTGAATGTAAAATTACACACCTGACCAAATTTCAAATCCCAAACGTATACAATTTATAATTTATTGCGTCAATATTGCACCTAATTGAGCAAACTCACTTTACTCACTGCACAAGATTAGAAGTGTAGAAGTAACGTGACAACGACGACTCGAGACTCGACGGACGACAGACGACGACTGACTGTAGACCGAGCCGAATGAATTCTAGTGGTGGTTCAATGGTTCTGGTTCAATCAACCCGATCTCAGTGTTGCCGACTTTGCCCTTCCGGTACAATTGTGCTGAATTCGGTACGAAACGATTAGACTCAGTAAGTCAGTACAACTTAAAAGAAAACACGAAATTCAGTACGAAATGAAAATATATGAGAAAAAAAGAGCAAAATTTGCAGCATTTGGACGAACAAATCTTTATTACATTTTTTTTTCATTTTTGTATTTTTTTTCTTCTATGAACTTTTGTTGTGCCGTGTGCCGTCATCACTCGGTGGGGGAGGGGGGGTAATACCCTATTACCTCCCCCCTCTTGTATCCGCGCCTGCCACTATGTGGTGCTATAGCATGTTGCAATGCAAACAGGTTCATACAACACTGCACCGTTTTACCACTAACCAAACGGATAGAACTTGAATCTCCTGAGGATGCAACATAGTTGACAAAACATGTGTCGGGGCGTATGAAACATTGGTCTGGTTATTGGAAAAACAGTGTGGTGTATTATATTGTGCCAAAGGTTTCAGTCTTCGATATACAGGTTCGTGACCGGAGTCGAATGATGCTCACGGAGGTTGTGAATGGCCTCTGCTGGAGAAACCGAATTATCAAGGCTAAATTCATTCAAGAAGCCTAGACTAACGTCGGAAGATAGAACCTACGAGTCAATTCTGTGGACATACAACTTATTTCCTTCACAATTAAAGTGAAACTATATGCCTCAAGGCATTAGTGGTGTTTATGAACAGCTGCAAGAAATAGACGGAGGTAACCTGAATACAAAATAAACTGACGCTCAAAGAATGCTCAAACTCATCTCCACAAATTTTAATCATGTAACACAATTAGGATGAAGGTGCTAAGCTAAAGTTCAGAAATGGTTCAAAATTCAATTCCAAATGCATGAAAGTGAGAACGAAAATACAGGAACGTTGAAGAAATGAATTTTGAAAATTTCATGTTAATTCTTTCTCAAACATTTAAAGAATTAAATAAATGGTATGTTTCTCGGAGAGCGATAATTTATTCAGAAGGTACTTCAGGGTTATCAAATGAGCTATTCACATTTTTCCCTTCAATATTTCATGTAGTTTCAGGAATAATAAGCAGAGATCGAATATTTCAATATAAAGGGTGTCCTATTTCTGAGAGACCTTAGATTAGAATTCTCCAAGTCCAAACCTAGAATTTGGATACATTTGGTAGCTCAAAAAGTCAACTTCGATTAGTAAACTGAGTGTGTTGAATTTCAGGAAAATCAATCAAATGATTGGGAAAATACAAGGTGAATCAATTATGAGTAAAAAAGTAAGACGACCCTGTTGAAATATTGAATTTGAAATATCTTGACTTTTCAAACCCGATATTTTCGTAATCATTCCTGCTAGACCCCAATGTGTGATAGATCGGTACATACAGAGTTTGTTCCATTCGAAATAACAAAGTTATTGCTACTTCTCGATAGGAGCGGCAACGCCGAAACGCTGAAGATATTTCAGATTGATAAAACAGATCTGATCACATAAGAAAACTTATTTTCAAAATGATCCTATGTTCCGTTTTCCAGAAACGTTTGATAGGCCATCGAGTTTGGGACATCCTGTATATATATACACATACCTATTTATACAGAAACATGACGTTGACACGACGTCCCTGCAACGTCATGAATCTTACGTTATGTTCCACCCATCCGAGTGACGTTTACTCAACGTCGTAATGATAACGTAATCATCACATCATAGTGACGTCAGAAATTTGAGTGTGGCGAAAATCCACCAATTTAGTACGTGACAGTGATGTATCTATTCGTCATATGGCTGCCTGGGAATATACACTAGACTCATAAATAAATGTGTGTCAGTATAACAGCTTCGATCAGATTACACTTAGTATCTTGTGGCAAAAATATTTATATAACCACAAGGGACAAATCAAGGATATGTGTGTTCAATACTTACTTCCTCCATCAGCCTTGCACCTGAGTGACATATCAACATGAGTGCTACGGTCCATCCGGACCAGTATAGCACACCACAAATAGGTTGGATCTAGAATCATATATCGTTCAATCGATTTATAAATTGAACTTATCAACTCACTTTCATCATTTGGCTTTCCAAACAACCTAAGTTTATTGCAGCAAGGAGGTAAACAAACCCCATCGTTGTTTTCACAAGATTCCTCAATCCCTCGGCGAGCCTAAAAGTTTGAAGAAATAATCAACAACAAAACGCTCGATGTCCAAAATTATTAGTCAAACATTTATACAATTTGCAGAAAATATTATCAATGATATTATATCATTTGAAGGGCTGAATAAAATTGAATAAAATGGTGTATGCGGCTTTGAAAACCGAGTAACCTAATTTTCCAAATTATTATTCTAATATACCTACAACTATTTTCACCATTATTCTCAATGATTTTATTTTCGATTTTATCATATTCCTCAGCAATCCAACTTTCCCTTCTAGTGAACAAACAAATATAATTATTACCTAAACCATCGAAGTGATCAAAAATTATCCACGTACCAAAAGGAATTTGACTTCTGGTTCTGATAACGGACGGTTGCTAGTCACAATAAGGATAAGTTTCCATCGTTCAAGTTTGAACCCCCTGATTGGGTATGAAAGTGTTGGAAAGGAATATTCTCAGATAAATTATGGACATTTAGATTGCACTTGTTCCGACCTGTTGAAATAGAATATGTGAAAATATACAGGGTGTTCCATTTGAAAATGCAGATTTGCTGGCAAAAACAGAGTTGCTGGCATTTCCAGTAAAAGCGGAAGTCAGCCATATTGTAATGTGATCAAATATTAAATGGTTGCATGTATAACTGTATCAAATTCCATAAAAATCATTTATAAAAACCCTGTAGTAGGCACTGGCCATCATACTCAGCTCACAGTTCTACATGATAAAACTGAAATGTGTATATCAGATGAAAAGTTGAGTAATTTTTATGATTCCAAAATATTGTCTGCTGCTATTATATCATTCCGAACCAGGGCAAGCAAGCGAAAAGGAGGATTTTATTTCTTATTTTTCATGTTCTCCTTTCGGATGTTCTCCTTTCGGATGTTCATCAGATATAATTCAATGTTCGACGTGGCAAATAGCCAGGAAAGAAGTTGTTTTCTGTTGAATATTCAGAATGATATGTGCATATACATATTCTTGTCTGAAGGAGAATGCAAATTCTCAATTTCAGAAGATTCTATTTTCAAACTCTTATCGTGTGTGTTCAATATAATTCAATGTTCGTCGTGGCATATAGCCAGGAAAGTAGTTGTTTTCTATTGAATAAACTGAAAAAGAGTTGATATTCTCATCACATAGAGAATGCGAATTCTCAATGCATTGCTTTATATAAATATATATCCATTTTTGTATGTTCATAATTTATCTGAGAATAATCCTTTTCAACACTTTGTTTTTTTCGTTTATCTCAGGAAATACTCAGAATTCAAACATTTTCTCGGCGGCATATATTTAGTCACATGAATGCCTACTTTGCCCTAATTTAACCATCTTTGTATCTCCTATAGTTTCTGAGAACCAAATGGTGGCTCACGAATATGAATTACCCAGGAAGGAAATTGAAATATTTCTGTATTGCATTCACGATCTGATCTTTGAACCTTGGAAGAAAAGAAAACTTGTTGTGGCAAGTTCGATTCGACTTTACTAAATTGATGATCCATCTCACTTTTGCTCTGTAAATCTATTAGAGAATCTTCAGGATGCACTTCCAATTTCGTCCTGCGAAGCTTCTGCGCACTATATAAAGGCTATTCAAGTTATATGTATCGGTTACTTCTTTCTTATGTATATTCCAGAGGACTTTGTTATTCAGGATGACATCTAGATCTTTGATTTTTGTCTGTCCTATGAATGTCTTGCCTATATACTCTGAGGGTCTTCAACTTGAGTTTTCTTTTTCTCGTGAAGGTTATTACGTTAATTTGCACTATAGATATGTTTCTTCATTGAAAGTTTGTGAACATTCAATAGGAATTCAGTTTTGGCCAAGTGATTTCAACTTCATTATTCATATCGAGTTAGAGAATTTGCTGTTGAACACTATTTCTGGGCTTACCTAAGAATATGGTTATGATTTTGCACCCATGAAGCTAAACCATCTGGCCTGGTTTTGAATTTTGTTTCTTCAATTATTTTCTTGAATTGCTGTTTCAGCTGATGAATGTGGATAGAGATTATTTCCACAGCCTCCCATATGAGAAAATTAACACAGGCAGCAGGGATCACTGCCATTTCAGCAGCCACAATTTGGATGGAGATAATTATATACCGTAAGGAATTTTGGGGGAGGTCGAATGGCAGCCACATGGGGTAAACAGTATCACAGATAAGATTCAAGTCATGTTTTTCCTGAAGCTGATGACACTCCGAACTATCTATGTAGGACATTAAACAATATGTCGTGCTTCCAATCACGTAAAAGGTATCTGAAATCAGGAATGACTATAGAATAAGTTATAATACGCAATAATAGGTAATAATGTTTCACACATTGCCAAGGAAGGTGTTCCCCGAGGCATATAACCTCCAGAAACTTGAGCTAACACCAATTCCTACCTCATTCTTGGTTCTCACGATGTTGTCTGAACATTACAAAAGATTACCCCTTTTCGTTGGAACCAGAACATAAATAAAAGCCAACTTTCTCTAGTTGAATTCCGAATTGATCAATATGGAGAAATGTCAATAAAAAGATAATTATCTCGAAAGTACCTTTATAATTCACAAAATCATTGTTGATTGTAATATTGTTACTTCTCAATCTGAATCTTCAGAAACATGAGCACAAGAGACGATTATAGGACAAAGATTTATGGTGATTGATATATACTCACAATATAATTTGCCAAGATAAATTGTCCGATCTATATGATATTTCAAATCAGGTGGTCCATATTCATTGAAGTCCAAGAGGGCTGTGAATAAATTGTGCCATTTTTCATGTATGGCAGCAAATTTTCCACCGATTATAATAAATACTGTTACTCCAAATATTAGTCCCACGTTTCGGCTTGTTTCCAATCCTCTTATTTCATCTACGAATGAATAAGTCATTTGAAACTGAAGTACTGACCTATTTATGGTGTGTGTGGTGTTAAATGTGTCATGATGCCTATAAATTCAGTTTGAAACTTCGAAAGTTTAGCAACATTCTCCCACGCCCCTCTCTTTTTACAAAGTAGACGAGATCGAGAGATTTAGAAACTCCTTTCAATAGGAAGTGATAACACCATTTGACTTTCTATACATCTATTTCTGGACACTCTTTGTTCCAAGAATACAGCATTTCATATATTTTTTTCTTACTTGTCGGATAGACTGAAGCTTTGTGTATTTTTTGCATCCCTTGCTTCTTTGAATTCAATGTCAGTAAATGGATTGAATTTTCGGGTGTACTGTTTATAGTATTTTTCTTGAATTAGTTTCCCAGTAACATTCCACACAGTTTTATAATCACCACCATCAGCTATCTTTATAATGAAAGCTCAATCTTTCATGAATGATTCAAGCTCTTGATTTGAAGTCGTCTCTTCAGGATCATAATGTTTCTCTTTCAAAAAAATATTTCAAACTGCTTCCATATCGACTTGAAGAAAAATAAAGCGAATATAGAGGATTAGAGGTGAGCCTATTCGATGGATAACCGTGTATAGAGCTCTGAGGAGAGAATGGGTTGCGACAGTGAACTAGTTTGGGTTATAACATCAAATTGATTATCTCAAATTCTTGAGGAAACAGGCCCATTGTGCTTCAGGCGGTTCATCGCTCAATCCATATCAAAATGCATTTCAAAGCCATAGACAATTGATGATATTGAAAAAAAAATCATCTGGAATTTTTGATATCGATGTTCTGTACCTATATCACTGTGATTACCTGCATTCGAAAGTATCTATTCAATATGCAATTTGAAGATATTTATGAGATGATCAGAATGTGAATTGTTATTTATGACAGTAGCTACCTACATACCTAATGAGGAAATGGATAACTTGAATTGCACGGATTTCATGAGTATATCGACACCAGCATAGAATTCTGCAGTCAACATATTTCACTTCACAATTTTCATATCTTTCTGTGGAAGTTAATTGTCACCTTCTTTCCACAATGAAGAAGCTAAAGTACGCTCCGATTCAGTAGATTTGAGTATATTCATTCCATTTACCTTCATTTATCAATACAATACGTAAAAACTATGGGATGCAGATAATAATCGATGTGATCATTGAAGAAGCCAAAGGCCACTACGATCAGTAGAAAGATTTTAGTAAATTCCACTTACCTTCATTGATCATCACTATACGTAAAAATGTTGGGATGCAGATAATAATCGATGTGATCATTCTCAAAGGAATGCAGGTAGAATAAAACCAACTTTTGTTTTGATGTTCGATGGATTTAGGATAACATTTGAAGACACATAAGAGTTTCAATGTATATTCAAATGGTTCACTAATCTTGAAATCCAACATATTCTTATTTATGAGTCACTAGCTTGGTCGATGGAGAAGGAATGTAATTCTATTTGAATACAGCTTCCTTCAGATTACTCAATATATCATTTGTATATTATCATTATTTGTGTGATAGATGGGAACAAATTCCTATCTATCAGCTTGATTATTATCATTAGACAGTACCTAGTAATTAATGTGAATGTGAAGCAATAAGAAGTGAATAGATGTGGATATTAGTGAAATCTTCTACCAGCAAAATTATATTCTATTATTCAGTTGAACATTATCGAAAATATCCATATTGAGTATATCTTATAATAATAATATTGGTTTATCCACTAAGAAATAATAATAATAATTTTGTTGTGGGGCTTTAGAGTAGAAGAAAAATAAATAGGGTCATAGATGCGCAGTCATAGACTTCGACTTTTCATATCCTCTTCAATTGTGAAGACAACAGAAAGAGCAATTTGAAAATCAGTTGGATTAAAAACTTGAGAATCCAGCGTTTGATTGGCTATCCAAATTCTGAATTTAAAAAACCTATTTTATGTTTCTCATCTATCACAGTTCTGTAGTTCTGCATGTGCTCAACTTCTCCCTACATGCATCCCTCCTCTACATCCTTATTCTTCAATTGTTGTAATAGATATTGTTATATGCCTATGCTCATGGTCAGAATTTCATGTTTTATCCCTTGACATTGACTTTGACTTATGTCAACGTCTTGCCCATGTCAATCATTAACATTATTTCCTGTGTTTTCTAACCAAATTAGTTTAGATTTAAACACGTGCTGGCTATTTGCCCCATCAATTTCATTGATATTTTCTTTAAGTAGCGTTTTCATAAGCGCACGGGGAACCCCTTTTTTATAAAAACCTGTTTATTTATGGTGTTGTCAAAAACAAAACTTTTTGGCAATACCTTTCATATACCATTCTGGTATATGAAATTTTCAATGAAAACAATAGTATGCGCTCTCAGGGCACGGGGCCCTTCTTTTATTGAGAACCGGTTTTTCCATTAGACATTCCAATTCTTGGCTATGGGCATTGACAACAACTCAAGAAAGAGTAGCATCAAACAATGTTTTAACTCCAAGTAAGTCAAGCACAAACTAGACAATTATATCACTTCAGATATTATTTTGTTTTTGTATTGAAGGCCTTCCAATTAGGCTGAAGATGGTCTTTTATAAGACTGAAACATGTCCCTTATGATTATGTAACAACATCAATAAAATTTGTGGAGATGACTTCGAGCATTCTTTCCTTCCAATGAAATATCTCACTCCACTTTGAGCAATATGGACTTCTAACAATGACTAGATATATGATATAACATACCTTCAGATCAATTATGCTTAAAACCTACTAATGTATCTCTAATTCCAACAAGGGTCAATACGGAAGCTTTAAATAGCTCCTTATATTTGAATATAGTGAATTCATAAGGTGGAAAAAATATATAACCCTAGGAAGGACTGCATGAAACAAACTCACATTTTCTAGTGGTGGTTTACAGCTGGTTACGTAACAGTTGTGTCTAGTGGCTCAGGAGCCTACTGCCTTTCGGGTGGGATTCCCCTACAGAGTTCCAAAACTGGAAGTGGCACAGCCTAACGGCGTGGAGGTCTTGACCTGGAAAAATTTCGGAACCAGCGACATCCTAATCTCCTAGGTGACTAGGTCTTCGATGACGTCGAAAGGACATGGAACCCTCAAAGAGACAGCATCAAATCCTGCATGAACTGGTCGTGAATTTGCCCAAAAGAGCTTTCAGAATTGTATTATGGGTCTATTGTATGTGAATTACATCCTGTATATGAGATGAGAGAATTTCATGTAAAAAGTGCCAGATTGAGAAGATGTTGGTTGTCATCATAATAGTTGAGACTTCAATGAATACTAATAGTTAATAGATAAACCCACAATACTACATGGTGTCAGGTGTGAGGTGGGGGTCTTGACTGAGAATGCGGATCACTAATTGTTTGCCAAAACTTATCGGCGTGGACGAGAATTGAAATTAAGAGCAAAAAGAAATCGAACAAGAAATCAGAGGCAACAGTTCTTGATACAAGGACAAAATCAACCTCAAGCTCTTCTAAACGCAGTTCATTCGCCTGAAGTATCTCCATTCGAGAAGCATGAGTGGCCAGCATGGATTCAACACTATGGAAGGTACAGGTTAGCAGCTAAGTTGGAGCAAACCAAGAAAAAAGTTCAATTCTACAATTTGTTGTTATATATATGGGCCTAAAAGTTTTCAAGTTATTGAAAACTCTCAAGAATGAGACCGACTTCACCACTTACAAAGAAATGAAGAAGATATTTGATGAACAATTCGTTGGCATGAAAAACATTGTGTATATATGCCGGAGCAAAGTTCAATTTGCGATCTCAGAAAGAAGGCGAGCCTGCTCAAGATTACATTAGTGACCTGATATTTCTTGCATCAAAAAGTTGCGATTTTCGCATTCTCGAAGACGAATTGATCAGAGATCCGAGATGATTGTTGGAATCAGAGACACCAGATTGAGCGAAGCCTTACAAATGGATTGTGGATTGACCCTAGATGAAGCAATCGAAAAAATTTACACAGAGCTAGCGAATCAAAGAGGAAAACAGAGAGTTAAGAGGATAGAAGGAAAATGATATCGGACGAGTTATACAAAGAGGAACAAGAAGAAGAGATAAATGAGAATAGAATAAACACTCCAATAAGGTGGAGGTGGAGGAAGAAACCTGTCCAAAATGTGGTAAAAAGCCCTGCTAATAAAGTGAGATGTAAAAAGTGTGAAATTGTATGCAATACCATGTCGTACCAAAAATTTCAATGAGTCGTCACCTTCCGACGAATCCAGTTGGGAATCAATAGAAGAGATCAGAAATATATACAAAGTGGACTAAAACAGTCTATGGAAGGGGAAATCAAAGATTGGGAATGAAAATAACTCCATTTTCAAACTAGATACCGGCGCAGATGAGACACTGAGAGACTACGAAACAAAGTTAAGGAATTTTTTGAATTAGAAAATAGAGAAAAAAACTGCGAGTTAGAGGTATTTGGCCAAGTTGATAAGGTGTTATGTTGTCAATACCAAAGAAAATCTTTTTGACTGAGTTAGGATTGTTTACCTGGAAAATAGGCAATTGTATTGCAATGTTCATGAAATCACCCAGAATGTTTCTGCGGATACATGTAAAGATTTCAAGAAGGAATTCTCAATAAATAAATCTTGAATTATTCAAGGGGTTGGAAAATCGAAAAATTCCGAAAATAAAATATGCCTTACGGATGATGCTTCACCTTACGTTTGTACCACTTCCTGATGAGTTCCTTCACCTCTACAAAAGCAAGTTGAAGGAGAACTCTTGAAGATGGTAAATGAGAATCCTATAGAAAAAATCGATGAAGCTACAGAGTGGTGCTCTCCAATGGTTGTTGTTCCGAAAAAATACAGTGGGGTACGCGTTTGTAGTGACTATACTGAGCTCAACAAGTTTGTTGTTTTTGAGAGATAACAGCTGCCCTCCGATGAGGAAACTTTATCAAAGTTAGGAGATGCCAGAGAATTCACCAAATTAGATTTCAACAGTGGATTTTGACATCAGCTCAGTTTGAACAAGAGTTCGCGCAAGTATACTACATTCCTTACACCCTTTGGATGTTAGGCATACAAGTGCCTTCCATTTGGGATTACAAGTGGACCCAAAGTATTCCATAGGACTCCCAGTGAAATAGTGAAGAAATTGAATTCGGACTGTGTACTCGTCCATGCCGACGATGTCCTCGTAACAGGTTGAAATATCAGAGAGCATAATGAAAGCGTGCATAAAGTACTTAGCTATTTAGCAAATCGTGGATTCACACTGAATAAAAAGAAATGTGAATTTCAAACAACTGAATAAACAAGATATCTTGGCCACATGATATGCTCAGATGGTATATCAAAGTCGACTCGTACAGAGGCTATTATCCACTACCAAGCGCCTTGAAATAAAACAGACATTCGTCGATTTCTCGACCAGGTGAAATATGATTATGGCATGGCAAAGTTCGTGAAAGATTCAGCAAAAAAGACTCAGTCGATTCGAGAACCACTTCGAATCCATAATGAGTCTTTGTGGACAATAGTACGCCAGAAAGACTTCGACCGATAGAAATCTGAGATAGCTTCATATACTATTTCAGCAAAATATTCAACATCTCGGAAAATCTGTATTTCAGCAGATTCAAGTCAATACGGACTAGGTGCAGTCTTGGAACAGTTTGATGATTCGGAACAATGGCGGCCTGTTTATTATTGTTCTAAGTCACTGTGTGTAGCCAGAAAAAGTATGCTAAGATAGAAAAAGAGGCATTAGCTGAAACGTGGGCGTACGAGAGATTTGAGCAATTTGTCTGAGGATCAAAGTTCGACATTCTCGCTGATCATGAACCGCTAACTGTTATTCTTGCAAATAAATGAACTATCTACACGATTGCAACGTTTCCGAATGAGATTGCTGAAACTCAATTATACCATGAATTAAGTCCCAGGAAATTTTCCAAGATATTTTGTTCACAGAGAAAATACATCATG